TACCCTGCTCATCCTGATACTATACTGTAACCTTTTTTCTCCAGCAACTTTAGAATAAAGTGGAGGAAATTCTTCCATGAAATACTAACATCACGTTGGCTTTTCATACCCTAGTAATCTTGCTTTCAATCACAAATGAATTTGTCTTGTTTTCCAATCTTTCGATTCGCTGCAAACACTCCACTCTACTTTCTAGAAAATTCGCACACCAAATTCGTGATCATATAATATGTCTTTGTTTACTAATTCGATTCAATCGTAATTCTAATGCATACTATGTTCAGTTCCTCTTTGTTTTCAGATTCCCACTCTCTATTTATCTCCTAGCGCTGCTATTTTCGCAGCATATTTGAATTAATTATTAAAATTGAAAACACAATCCTATTGTTATGCTTAAGGCAAAAGTTTTATTGTCTCTCTCGCATTGAACAATGATATGACTACTTAATGTTGGCAGAGTTCTCACATAGGGGGCAATTTAGTTGGGAGCACACTCTCATTCTGTGGAAGTGCTTCGGCAGGCAATCGTGTCTGGTACGCAGTCGAAACTCTGCAACAGCTTCGATTTTGGCCAGTCTCTGTACTGTAGAGTGACGCTGTTCACTGCTTCTCCTTTATTCGAGTTTTAAGTTCATTTCTTTTTGAAGTCTTGAATGTGACCTACAGGAGTAAATGAAGAAGGCCCACTTGATTTGGTGACCAGCCCTAAAGACAACAAGAGATATAACTAATGAGCTACTTTTAACCTTCCTAAAGTCTATATATATATATATATATATATATATATGTTCCTCCCCCACCCCCCCCTTGTGAAGGCCGTAGTCAAATGAGGAGCTAATTATATATATCATAAACCCTGCCATTTGATATAATAATAATAATAATGCTGACAGAGTAAATAACCACGATACATTGATATCATCATTTTAATCATCACCTGGTTTCTTGACTTTCCTTCCACACTTTAACCTGATCCTTATTAAAATTTTAGGGTTATGTATGCGACTCATGAAAACAATATTGGGCGAACAATTCCTCACCAGCTTGAAGGAGACTGACACCGTATTTCCTTTGCATGTAAGTTTGCCCTCTTCCCTCCCTCATTCAAGCGCTTTGATTCTCCACTGCCAATAGGTCTCTTTTGAAGCGAGTCGCCCAAGTGAGACGAATTAAAAGTCGACTGAATCTCGGACTGAGTGAGCTCCTTTAAAATGCCGCCAAAGGATTAAAATGCAGAAATTTCAGTTTACCCTGAGGATGAAAATTTCATCAAGGAGAGTAGGAGGACCAAATAAAATCTAATTTGGCTAATGCGCATGGGCTCTAATCTCAAACAAGAGTTGGTTCACATTCATTTGAGTGCTTAGGGGTTGCTGTCGTCATGTTTGCGCCTCGATTTGGAAGTTGGAGCATTTTCGAGAATATTTAAACCAAACTAGATAGGTTGCCCTATTAACTAAAACTTAGTTAGAATTCATCTATGCATTTAAGCTTATATTTGTTTTTCACTCCACTCTTATCGCTGTATGTAGGCTATTATTAGAAAATTTTTCCGAATTTTAGTAAAATGTGCCAAGTGGATTAATTTGTTAAGTAGAGGCGATAATTACGTGGTAATTCTCTGCTATTGTTATTAAATTCTGGCCGTTGTGCGATATGTTGGGCGGCTAAGCTCTTCATAACAGGAACATTAACTGTTTTCGCTTGCGCCCATTGGTCTTGGAAGTGAGCGACTTAGCTTTAACGCAACAACAGCATTACACTGAGCATAATAACAAGTCTAGTTAAATTTAGAAGTTAAAAAATTGACAAGGGAAGATAGTGCTTTTTATAACCTGTTTTGTTCTATACGTATGGCAGAAGAATACGTCTTTGCATAATTAGTCAAAACGTAGGGCTTTATTTGAATTCAGCAGATATTAGATTGTGGTGGTAATTTGAATGAGTCAATCACAAGTTGGAAATATGTATCTGTAGTGTTTGCAATGATTGTTAATATCAAGTTAGGTTGTCAAAGCAATGAATTCGAGCAACATCAGCGGATTCTATGAGGCTGTCAATTGTATGCAGTGCTTATGCCTTATCAACGAGGTCATAACAACCAAGTGGGCCTACAAGTGCCCCCTTTTTCCATAAAGCAAGAATATTATCAGCAAAGTTGGTATCAAGCTCGTTGCAAGAAATATATATGCCAGAAATTCGAACTAAGCACATTTTTCGAAGTGAGTGGCGATTATTAAGCAATTCGAATCCTTTGTTTCAAATCTTTCACTTATAACCTTAGAGCTATACGTTCGCATTATTGATTAGTACTATGTATTTTTTTTTTACTCTAACATAACACTACAGCGATGATTTAATAAGATCATCGATTGGTTGTATGACCAATTGCTGAAGGTCGAATGTCCTCCTGATTTGTTCCGTCTGGAAAAATTTTCTAGATACCAGAATGAAATTGTGCGTCATACATCCCATTTCTAATAAGAGAGGTAAACCGTGGAGATCATATGTCATTTGGTTTTTGCATTTCCCGAGGTTTAGGTAGTTGCGGATATCTCGTTTCTCTATTTTCTGTTTCAATTAGTTCTATCTCATCTAATGGGGCGGTGGATTTTAGAGTATTATATTAATCCAGGTATTAACAATAGGATTCAAGGATTTATCCCCTTACCCGTTTTTACGTGCAGGTTCGCGAAAGGGCCATTGTGAGCAGATTTGCTCAAGTTATACCCCCCACTCCATTCATAGCACGTCGTTTTCCGACAGTCATTGACCCGACCTCTCCAAAAAAGACTGGGGGCTTACAAGATACCCACATAGAGAGGAATCAACTAACTAGACTCAGCAGGAAAACTTCCTCTTTTCCATCAATGATGAACCAGAAGCGGCCCACTGATAATACGAGCGAATCTGCAAAGCATCTATCCTATCCCCTAATGAGAGACCAGGATGGTTATCAAAATTGTGGTTATGATCTTGAAGATCAGTCTTCAATAGATGTTGATTTGGATAGAAGCGACTTGAGCAGTTCTTCGGAAAATTCAAAGCGTCAGACTGTTATTCTGAAGAGCTCAAAGCAACAACCACAAAATGCCAATGGTGATGTCCAAGACTCTCAAGTCAAAGCTGACGAAGACATCTCAATGGAATCTCTGGTTTTCATCCATGTAGAGCTACCGCTTTTCCCCCTCTCAACTTTCGTCCCCAAAATTCTTCAAGAAGCCGTTGCTGCCAAACATAATACGTATGTTTTTTTCTGTTTTCTTTAAAAATCGCTAACAAATATTCAGTGTCTGTCTGCGTATGATTTTATGATCCTCCGAATATCACAGATAGCTATTCGATATTCTTCTTAATTATTTTTATTATCTTGGCGCTAATTTAACAACAACCGAATCCGTGATGCAGAGCCAAAAATTGTGCCTAATCAATTTTCACTGTGAAAAATTTCAATGCCTCATTCAGAGTGGAGAGCACTAACTATTTGTAGAACAGGAATAATGAACTCATGCTTTAAATTAGTAGATAAATTGATTGAGTTTAAGGTTTGATTTGGTGAAAGTTTTCGAATTCCACGCTTTACTACTCCGACATAACCATTTATTCCATGGTACAATAACATGGTCACTTAAATGCGAATTAATTAATTACAAAAGCATTGGCTCTATCTCCCAGTTGAGTTACGAATTGAATTGACTCAGCTCTCGGGGTAAAAAAAGGGTGGATGGAAATTTGGGGAGATGAGAAATCTTTTGGGTAAGAAGAGCAGATGAAGGCTAAAGCAATCCCAAATAGTTGTTTTCTTGTGCGTTATTGGCTTTTGTAAAAATACATTCATTCATATCAAATGGCAGGCGTTTTGATAGTTATC